CCTCTTATTACTCGGCCTGGAGTCCCTCCGGGGGCTACTGCCGGTCTGTTATATCACGATAAGAATAATGAATGATAACTTTTGGGATCCATTTATGGACTAATACTATGAGTATATTTTTATCGTATAATTGTTATGTAACTAAACTGTTCATATTCAGGTTGCTCTTATTATAAGCTTTAATTTGACCCATAGACTATTACTATACGATTAACCATTCTTGAGTTATGGCCTGTCTATCAATTAACATCTTCATTCACAGCCACATTTGGCTAAATATTTTACTACTGTTGTTTCATATTTTTTGGTACATTGTGGTCTGTTTGATTGGTATATAAACTCCGTATGTTTGGAGGTAAACGATTCATATTGCAGAGGCTGAGATTGGTGTTCTGGGCTTAACTGGCTGGGCTAGACAGGAAGAGAGACTAATCAGGACTCTAGGCTGCTCGCACGTGTTTTATGCGTCACTGGTTCGATCGATAATTCGCTACTCTCTGATTGGAGGTATCGTTGCGTTATGCAATAAACAGGGCACACAGGTTCACAAGTTATAACACGGTCCCAAGCCTGGATAAATGAGGAGGGTTGGGCATGGGGTTAGCGACCCCATCCCGTAGAAAACTAACTCGCTAAAAAACGCTAACCAGAAGAAAAATTTCCTCTTATTAATATCGTGGTTAATATGAATGATTGTAACCACTTTCACTGAAGGAGTTTGGCATTTGAACTAACAATTTTTTCCGATGACTTAGTTATAAACCCACGATTAATGTATGACATACATAAATAAGTGAATTAAACAATTATTGATAAGTCATGCTACCGGTATCCCTGTATTATCTTCCTAGTTGGTTGCTATAACCTCGATTACTTCTGCACATCAACTGAAACACTAGAGAGGAAGGAGGGAGTTTCAAGTAAGAGTTTTATTTCCAAGGTAATTCCTGAACAGAAAAATGAGGGTATTTATAGAGTTGCACACGACCTTGAACTTCTGAAACCATACCAAATATAGTAATAATATGGTTAATTGTCCAATGAAACCCGTGATTCCTGACTTTACATTTTCTAGATATTTCTCTAAAGTTTCTGTTCAGTGCTGATGGGATGAAATGTTTCTTGGCGTTTCTGTGCCACTAGAAACTTTGACTAGGGAGTCTTCCAACTGTTAGCTGTCAAAACAATGATGAACTTTTACATCGATCACGGTTTAAATATTTACCTTATCTTGGTCAATATAATACAGGAATTATGAACTTATAATTGTTGATCCGAGAAGCAGAAGTTATCGAAAACGATTGTCCATTCAATTATTTTTTTCGTTTTATGCCTTTTTATATAGTCTTATCCTGGAACGTCTACACATCGTTGTGTAAAACACAATCAGCTTCATATTATTGTTTATATACTGATGATTTAATAATTCAATAGGCAAATCAACTTCAAAAGAATGATCAGCACCTTATTTAGTCAGAGCGGGGTTTTGTGGATATATTATAGTAATTTAGTAGATGAATTCCAGTGCTTCAAGGTTTACCATGATGATCTAGCTTCAATTGACTCATGAATTCATCTACTAAATTATCTTAGTGTTTTTGATGAACTCCAATAAAGATATTTAAAGAAAGACAGATTTTAGCCAGCAGTTGGATCCAGGACATATGTTTCATTCCATTTGAGACTTATCAGCTGCATGTACCTGCATCAACAAGAGTACATACATTTTCATTTTGTTGCGACCTAATTACACTAATGTAGTATATCGTATTTATTTGCTTGTCTTTAAGAAAATAATTCCTCAAATTTATGAGAAAGAAAACCGAATCAAAATGATATCAATATGATTAGTTAATATTGAATGGTATATACATATAGTCCATGTATACTACAAATACAGTTTGTTTTTCTACTTATTGTTGACACTTTTTTTTTACCACCATCCATTCTCTTATTAACCCCAAACAAATACAGAAGTCTATAGTGTTGATAACTAATTCTGACCTTTATTTATTGTATTATTGTCTGAGTGTATATGTGAATTCTCATTAAATCGATTTTAAACTTCATCCTTTCCAACTTCGTCCCGTATACACACGTTTCTTTCATTCGTTGTGGAAATTCATGAATAATCTAGTGAATGGTGTTTCGTGTTGTGTTTTTTTTTGTGTATATGTGATATATAAAGTTCTGTAGACAATGACCACACATACTAATGTACATGTGAATATCTAAATAAAGAAAAATGATGCTGGTGCTAGCGAACAACAAATAACCTTAACCTCTGACTAAGTGTTCATCTAAGATACACATTAATATGACCTTAATGTTTACATGCATAACATTGTTGTGTCGTAAGTGGTCCACTTTATAGGATTGACCAGCATGCTTGTTTGATGTTCTACGTGTATATACATTATAATGTTTGTGTAACAGTATGTGTGTAATGTATACAATGGATAAGTTTACTGTAAGAAAAGACAGAAAGTAAATAACTCTGTTACCATGTGAATACAACTTGCTTAAATTGATGATACATTCTCAGTACTGGTTGACATCAGTGATTGAAATGTAATCAGATAAAATACTGGAATTAATAATCGTTTACATGTATGTGCTTATGAACTTAGTGCCTGAACTATTGTAAAAATAAAACATGTTGCGTTAAATCATCTTTGACTTGTATAATGAATCGATTTAATATCATAAAATAATCGAGTCAATAGTTGCAATAATTGGAGCGGTGCCCTAGTAGTTAAGGGGTTTCACGTTTATCCACTAAGTACCAATTTTGAACCTTGCTTCATTTACACTTCCATTTGGGCGAATGAGTAGTATCATTAACCCTTACACTTCGAGTTTAGCTTACACCCAAGCACCTGATGAATGAGTTGATATTTAAAAAGCTATACTGAACAAAATGCCATAGATATTCAATACAGCTACCTCAATTAACAAATGTTGACGCAAAGAATAGCACATCACCCTTTTGTCGCTAGGACTCAACTTTGATTAGTACGGTTGTAAAACCAAAATTACTAACAAAAAGTTGTACGTAATCGGCACCCAACAGCTGTTCCTTAAGTTCTGTGTTATCTTTCCCAACTAGACAAGATCACTATTAAATCAGTTTCTTGTTCAGGTCTCTCAATAATATATATCTTTCCATGATGGAAGTAACCAGTAAGTGACAACTAGCCACATACCTATAACAACGTTCATGCTAATCTAAACTGGTGAGTGATATGAAGAAATTCAATGTATCGATAAAGTGAGAATAAATATCTTTTTAAAGAACATTGAGTTGGTTTTTATTTTTGTTCGTGTAAATTCCCATATTTACTATTTCCTAAAATGTCAAAGCGTTTGTGTATTATTGGTATCAATGCCAAGATTGGACTTGATAGTTTCAAATGCATTGAGAATCAGGTAGAATATTAATAATAAGTGTATTTCTTGCTATATACCAACGAGTAGAAAAATGTACATTTCTGACGTTTTGTAACTTAATATAAGCCGCTTTTTCAGAGTAAATAAACAAACAAATTAAATTAACGCAAGTTTAAATAGTACAAAGGAAAGCAATGCTTTCCCACTCTTGATTTGACCATCCTGATTACTTCGACCATTGATGGAGTGAAATCTATAGGAAGGTTTGTGTGTGCTGCTTTGATGTCCGGTGGTTTTAATGGGACGGATTTATCCAAGAGTTCCTCAAAGTGTTCTACATACCTATCTCACTGCTCTTGAGTTTCAGTGATTGGCTTGCCTTATTTTTATTTAACTGGTCTTTCTGGTCTACTCATATTTTTCATTCAGTTGCTCCGGTGTATTATATAACTGTCTCATGTTTCCTTCTCTTAAGGCTTTTTCCGCTGTAGCTGCAAGATCTTCCACGCATTTCTGCTTGTCAGGTCTAATGCTTTTCTTCGCTCACTTATTTGCTTCTATGTATTCTGCCTGTTCCTTGGCTTCTCTGCTCTTGTTCAAATATTGTTGATCACTGTCTTTTTATTTATTCGTTGTTGCGTCTTTCCTAGTATGTCTATTGAGTTTTACCTTATATATTGGTGCTTGTTTCGGTTCATTACGTTGTGGCATGTTGCAATTATTACTTCCTTAATCCGTTCTCAATTGTTATGCACACTAGTTTCCTCTATTTAGAGTAGAACTTGTGAGGCTTGGAATCTGTTGCTAAGACCTATCTTAAATTCTTTGAGTTTGTCGGTATCTCAAAAGAAGACTGTATTAAACATATGAGATGCTGTTTCTACGGTTGTTCAGTGCTTCTTTAGCTTCAGTTTCATCTGTATATATGATCGATATGATTCTCTGCAGTGTCGTTCGGTGAGGCCCATTTAACTTTGTGCGTGTTTGTAAGGGAATATAGTGCCACCCATAACTTTGTTGAAGGGATATAAATTTGAAAAGCTCTCACTATTTTAGTTTTTTTCTCCCAGTTATTCGATGTCATTCCATGATATATCCATACCCACAATTCTTGTGAATGATGATCCTTCAACTTGTAGGGCAGAGTTTAAATGGTCTATTTCGGTTAGCGTTTTTTAGCAAGGTAGTTTTCTAGGCGGTGGGCTTGTTGACACCATGGTCACCCCTCCTCCTTTATCTGGAATTCGGAACGGCAATAAACGTAGGAGTACAGGTGAAGTTACAGTAAAATGGAAACCTGTCAATATACCGTGCCAGTAAACCGTTTTCTACTGTAGTGAGAAAAATGTCAGTCAGTATGGGACGTAGTGGTGAACCTATGGTGACATCAAATGTTTGTGTAGAAATTTCACCGTTGAATTTTATATACATAGTGCATTTTATTGATAATTTCTTGATGATACCTACAATGATAGTAGTATCTATTTTTTGAAGCTAGTGGGAATGAATTGAGAAGACTATTTTGCGTTCATATATCTGTACTTTATTTAAATAACTAAAATGACTATTATTTAAAGCAATTACTTTATATATTTTTAAACTTTATTCAGCTACAATCCGTCGACGATTCAATAAACCAGCCGCAGCTGTACGTGCTCGTATGGCACAGAAATGTAAAGATGAACGACGTTTTGGTCGTATACCTAATTCCAATGGAAATTCATGTATAGATGGAAATTCTGATTGTAATAATACACCATCACCAGTTGCTGCTATTTCATCTAGTCGATCAGGTACAAGAAAAACTCGTAAACGACCAGCTAATTCAACATCAACATCATCATGTTCATCTCATTCATTAAATGGTATAAAACAACCATGTACACCAAATTATAATATTTATCAAATGAATATTACCAATGATGATTGTTGTTCATCAACAACAGATTCTAATCAACTTCCACCCATAAATTTATCACCTAATGGTATGAGCTTAAGTGGTATCGGTGATGATGTCAATGGGGAATATGATTGTATGCTACAAACATCTTTGGATGATTCATTTACATTATTAGATCAATCTGATGTTGTGAACTATCCTCAAATTTATCCGCTTGTTAATCATATCACAACAATTCCATCATTGTCATCATCATCACCAATAATTACAATGACTAATGGAGTAAATAATATCAATGGTTCATGTAATCTATCTAATGCATCGTGTATATCAATATTTTCCAATGATCCATAGGCACACATTTTTTGGTTAATATGTAAATGGATTTCTTTTTTTTTTTAAATTATAATACTTGATTCAAATTGTCTACTTGTCTTCATGTATGTGAATGTGAGAAAATAAGCAAATCATCAACAACAACAACAACAATAACAACTAATCAACTAACAGCTACCCCCTACGTACAGTTAGTTACCGGGTAATATTATTCTTTCAATTTCTTCATCTGTAATTCGGTTGTGCTATTGTATTATTAGCCTTCCATTTTCATTTTATTTATTTCTTTATATTTTTCTAAATGTATTTTTATTGAATCATAAGTAAATAAGTGATGTTTTTTTATTATTCAGATGTCAGAGAGAAAAAGGTAGAGGAGTTAAGAGTAGGAACAGTAGAGTAGGTACCTTAAAAATCAATTCCGAAATCAATGTCTACAATAACAGTAGTTATGGTTGTTGTTGTTGTTGTTGTCTGAAATAATACTTACTATAAAATCTACAATATATTTTTGATATTTTCTATCAATTATTTAGTCGAATTATTTCATTTAGATATTTCCAATATATATTAGATGAATATGTAATTCACACTATTGTGCCTAATTCTCACTTTCACTCATTCTTTCTCTCCATGTGCGTGTGTGCGTGCACGTGTGTGTGTGTGTGTGGAACTTCCCTTTTTTGTATAAATCATATTTGGATTATTATTATTCATTATTGTAGTGTATTAATATGGATTCATTAAGCAGTGAAAAAGGTGGTTACTAATGCTCACCATGATCCGATCATTGTTTATTTTGATATCTAAAACAAAACAAAAAAAGAAAAATGATCTATTCATTTTACGGTCTTCCTTTCAATTTTTCATTTTGTTTTATTCATTATATTCTGGTTTACTTTTTAAATGAAACATTTTTATTTGGTTTCAATGTTAAACGACTAGTTATTGGTCACATATGTTGTGTGCTTTTTTTTTAGGTGTTGATGTTGTTGTTGGTGGTGCTGGTGCTGGTGCTGGTAATGATTATGTTATTGTTCTGTTCTCTCTTTTTATTCAACATCATCAAAGTTTATTCCTTTTTCGGTGATCTTATTAATAATCATAAAGCTCAAAAGTAAAATAGGACAATATAACTGTTTACTTTAATTAAATAGTATGAATACTATTTATTATTGATCATTACAGGATGTTTTGTTTTTCGGGCCTTTTCTTTGTCATTTATATATGAGTTAATGGTTTGTTTCTTTGCATGTCTATCAAATATACAATTGAATGAATGTATGAATTTATTCAGATGTTCAATTACATAACCATCATTATTTTAAACAAAGTGTATCATTATAATGTACACAAATGTATATGCAATAGGTGTGATATATACACTTTCTTAATCCTCCTATCATTGAATCTATCCACCATTCTCTTCTATTTTTAATTTTAATCATTATGATGAATAGTTCTGGTTAGCGTTTTCTTTTTTTCTTTTTAACGAGTTAGTTTTCTACAAGATGAGATCGCTAACCTCATGCCCAACTCTCCTCTTTTATCCGGGCTTGGGACTGATAGTAACTCTAGAAAAGCTATAGGTGGACTTCATTATAAATATCCTATCTATTTATTACATAACATAATTATCTCAATTATTGTTATAACAATATTAACATTCCTACTTTTAATGAATTCAACAACAACAACAAAAAGAAGTTGTCTAACCTCTTCTTCTTGTTCTTTTGTGTGTTTGATCTCTCAATGTTTTTTTTTTAATTGGGTTTTATTTCATTATTATGATTGTTATTTTCGGTTAAACTGATGTTACTGGATCATCTTATGTTGTTTATTCATATGAAACAAGTTGCTTGTAAATCTATCTACTAAAGTATTATGCATTCCCTTGCCTCCCCCCTGGCCCCCAATTTAATTCTTCATTGATAAAATTGCATCGTCACTAGGCGTGTATCATCTCCTATATGAGTTTCTTTGATTATGTAACATTGAATCCGGTGCACCTTCTATAAAATATCAAATACAATTGCTTTATTTAAACAAATACTGCAATTATTATTATTATTTGTCATTTGTGTTTTATTCAATTATTGTCTCTTTTTTTTTTCTCTTCAGTAAATCTTTTCATTTGATTTATTGATATGATTTGATCTTTTTTTTTTGCAATTTAATTTATTATTGTATATCATTCAATAGTTGCCTTCAATTTATAAACAATTACCTAATTCCCCTTATCCTCGAACTCTACTCCTTTATAAGGAGTAACAGGCATAAGTAAAGTAAGTCCTCTTATCCTACATATATATCTATCTATGCATACAATGTGTATTTGTTTGATTTTTATGTAAGTCAATGTGAATTGATAAAAGTTATTCATTACAAATGCACACACATACACACAAACAAACAAAAAAAAACAATTACATCCCAATTGATAAAACTAAACATTGAAACAAACATTCTTGTATTTCACTGTTTTTGTTACTGTGGTTGCTGTTTTATTATTAATTTATACATAAATATCGGTCTACATCCCTTTTTTCATGGATTAACAAAGAACAAATAAGCGCGTCTCTTAAAAAAAAGTTGTTTATTATTAATTACAATAATAATCACTATAATAATGAAATTTTATTTTGTAATGTTTACTTTTATTATTACTGAGTTAATGATGTAAGATCTGTGTTTTATCTTTCGAGCTGGTATGTAGCCAATAGAGCGATGATTACATTATAAAGTCTACAGTGGATATTTTAAGCAAAGATGGCTAGTGGCTAGCAGTGGTATCTAAGACACATGTTTCGTCTTATTTGGGACTCATCAGCCGGATGTACCTGCATCCCAGAGTTGACATTCATTCATGGATCTTACTTATCATAGAATGTTCCTAGTCAGGTCATTGGTGTGGACTGTTACCATGTCCCACAATAGGATGAAGCAACTGATCAGTTCTCTGGGGTTTCCATTAATACTTCAATTAGGATCATAGAAAATTAATTTCTTATTTCTATCGGGTCATTGCTTAGAAGAGAATTTTAATTTATTTAGCTTAAAAAAGCGATAATCTGTATAGGGTTGTAGAAATTATTAAGTGTTTGATTGAGATCATGAACCGATTGATGTTAGACTACCGTTGAAAATCTGGAAGCACTGAACGGCCATTTCGTATTGCTGTGAGACTCCTTAGCAGTACACGTCCACGATCCCACTTCGCGAGATTCCAACCCGCGGCCTTGAGTCTCGCGCACGAACGCTTAACCTCTAGACCACTGAGCCGGCATTCAAAGATGCTAACTTCTACTACCAACCAATCCACGAAATTGCGCGACCATCTTCCATTGTATTGAGGTAGATACCTGTCTCTACCCGATGCGGATTAGCTCCACTGGTCACGGCTTCCCGCGAGCGGGGTCGTTGATGCGCACTGCTGAGAAGTCCCACAATGGGACGAAACGGCCGTCCAGTGCTTCCAGGTTTTCAATGGTGGTCTAACATCAATCGGTTCATGATCTCAATCAAACACTTAATAATCTCCACAACCCTACACTGATAATATTTAAAGTATCATACTTCGCCAAGAATCTTCAGTGCTAATTTATCTGATTATGACTTATCAATAAAGTCGAGTTTCCCCCAAAAAAACCCATCTCTTATGCTAAAGAGATTCGGAGTCATCTCTGAAAAAATCGGTCCGTCAATGTTTCACATCATTTATTACCATCTTCAACGCACATCCCAACTTTGACGATAAACTCCCATATCTGATAAATTACCATGAAATAATTGACACAATCTTTAGAAAATTTAACAAACAATTATTGATTTCAAGTTATTACATCATTCTTCTAATTGGGAATCTTAGGATTGACGTACGTGAGTAGAACTTATATTGAATAAACAATTTTTCTGAGGAATAGACTTCTCACAGCACATACACACATATTACATATGAATAACTGTAAGTCTAGGTATTCTAGTTCCATATCACAGATACAAAAAAATCAACATTAGAAACTTTTCAATTACTTGAGAAATAACTTTAAGTTACTTATAAGTAGACAGTATATTAGTTTAAAATCTAGTCAGTCGGTCAGCGACAACAACGTAGAACTTCGTACTTACGTACATCAGTTCGAGTTGCCACACCACATTAGCACAGAGATGCAGTGGTCGATTCAAACTCCGTAGTGGTAGAGGTAGCAAGAGTATAAGCAGTAATCGGGAAGATTAGTGTTTGGAGATGTTACTTAAAGAGTATAATCCAGTGAAATAAATTTGAGAGGAGAAAAATAAGAGACAAGGAGGAATAAGGAGATCAAAATTTGGGAGAACACAAAGAGTGTATGCACCTGCGCCATTGCAAACGATTTTGAGCCATGTCATTCAGGGTCTCTAACCATCGGTTGTTATCATCTCGCGGATCCTGACCAGGTAGGCTACACCTACCGACATGACTCAGTCCACTTGTCAGTGACTTCATGGACTTGTGCCATGTTTTGGTCTGGCCACCCCTACCTTTCTTCCAGCCTACTCCTATACCACTGAACATCGCACGTCGAGGAAGTCGGTGGTTGGGCATACGTAACACATGTCCCAGTCATCTCCACTGATGAAGTTTCACTACTTCATCAATGGATTTGTCATCCTCCTCATGATTTAATTATATTTACAGTTTAAAATATAATTAAATCATAATAAATTTTGTATAATCTAATGAATTAAAAATAAGATAAGTCGATCATGATTTCAGTTTTAAGTAATTGATACCAACAACACCTTAAGGTTCCAGCTATCTAGTTAATATCTATCTATAAAACATATTTACAAACTTTGAAGGAACACTTGTAAAAACCATTAGAACAACATAAATAATGCTGATAAATATTGTCGTTTATAGAGAAGTTCAATATTTGACAAATACAATTCACTACGACCGAGCGCACTAGTATTCATATTGCCTATCAAAGTATAAATTGCCTACATGATGAACACCGAATTCATAGTAGTTAATTCTGTGGAGGTGATATATAAAAGAAAGATTGCACATAAGAATTAGTTCAGAGAAAGAAAGATATGTAGTAATTCTAATCTCAGGGTTTAAGGGAAGAGAGAGTGTATACACCTACACCATTTTGATCGATTCCGAGTAATGTCACGCAGTCTCCAACCAGCAAGTCAATGAGAATTCAACGTCGGGTCGCCAGGTAAACAGAGGGTGTGTTTCATCGGCACCTTTTTTGGCGAGGTAAGGTCATGTAAATGACCACACTAGGATCCTGTATGCGTGTTTCGAAGACACAGCATACATCAATGGTACGAGATCCTAGGATTTTAGCCAAGGACGCCTGCTGACCGATTTGACACAGGATGAGTATGCTGAAGGCTCCAATATTTAGTTTGAAGTGAGGTTTCACTATACCTGGGACAATGTTTTGCGCACTAGAATCGTTGACCGTGGTGACACTTGAAGAGTAAGTTCAGAGTTGAAAGCCGAAGTGGGAGCATTAACAGGAATTGAATAGGGGAATTTATTATGAATACAGTGGTCTTGAGTACTGTTAGAGATATGAGGGCGATTATCACTTCCTGGTTGATCACGCTGTGGAAATGTTTTTCTAAAAGTACATGAAAATAAAATTTGGTCTTAGTGACCTGAGAGAATGATTGCAGTTCTCAAGGGCTATCTGCTTGAGGTTGGTCACACACGACCCTTGTTTAGATCATTTTTGTTTTAGCTCCGTACTTGTTGAAACCTTACCGCCGGAGACGGATATCCGTGGAATAAGGCGAGATGTGCATTTTTAGGGTCGACCTTTTCTAACCTCGCTCTTTCTTAGTGGAAAAGGGGGCATCGGTGTCATGCTGGTCGTCTGAAGGAAACACCTTACTGCTGCCATACCTCTGTACCGTCAGCAGTACGACTTCACTGTCGGACCTTGGATTTGCTGCTTTTAGTCTTACTGTTGTTTAACCAACCTGTCTGGCGTGATATTATCTTGAGGTACGACTGTTCCAACCAGTATATCCCGATTGGTTCATCTCGACAGACAAGCCCGACCACGACGTCAAGATAACAGCTAAAGTCGAATCCTGAACGAATTACTTGTGATTGTTCTTTGGTCACAATTAATAATAGAGTCCGAACTCTTTTATATCTTAAATATTCCACCAATTATTGGACAAATAACAGTTTTTGAACTGTTCACCTTTACTTGCAATGTGCTAGGCACAATTGAAACCCATAACATGAACAGTATGCTTATCAGTAGCCTCAGTTGTTATGGCCTTAAAAGGTACAAATCTTTGTCATCTGATGTTATTGATATGTTAACAGATAAATAAAACCACTACACAGATTTAACAGTCAAACTGTGTCAACCATTATATGATCAAATCTATTGTATATATCTAAACAAAGTAAATGACTGCCTGATTCTAATGTCAAGCATCTTAATTAATAATGAGTCTTATGTGACTACCGCTAACTTCTCATGAAGTGCTTTCGTAAACTGTTTATAGTCTATGAACATAGCAGAAGAAACGCGTTCAAATACAATTTTGAAAGGTTTGATAGGCGAATACATGATCAAAATTTTTTAACTGAAAGTAGTTTGTCGCATTAATCTGTTTGAAAAGAACAGTTTCGATGTATTTTACTAGTAGACTATTTTAGGACAACGTCAAACTAGTATGTCTGATAAATCTGTCACAACTGATGACATATCTTGAATATTAAAAAGTACATGTAGGTTTATTTTAACTGTCACCACATTAGTTGCCAGATCTGTCTACATCTAATTGAATGATGTTCAATGTTCTAGATTGACCTTATAACAGACTAGTCAGAAATTGTCAGGTTGTTAGCTTGGTATTCTACCTGTTCTGTCAATATATATATTGACAACCGTACGAGTGTGAGCAATAGTAAATTCAGAAACTCACTATCTAAGTTATATTTCTCATAGATTCCTTCTCCCGAAAGATTTAACTATCAAAATAAACAAAAGATTCACAACTGAATTAACAAGACCTTACAAACAGTGATTGTCTCTGTACTAACCCTATTCGAAGCCAATGAGTAATTGCATATAATTTATTAGATTGATCCCGTTAAGTGACAAAGTTTACTTAAAAACTCGATACAAGAAGTTGAATACGAGGTATATTAAGGATGGTTATATATCACGCATACAGATTTAGCAGATCAAACCATTTGAGTGGATAAATGGAGTGAGAACTTAATTTGTAAATCAAATCAGTGTATACATTACTGTCTGAATATATACATACAAGCACTTACATATATATAAAAACGAAAGATCGGCCAGATCTAACAGCCAGTCGCCCAAATAAACTAATGGGACTATGAATGACACTTAATTTCAAAACGAAAGTTGAGTTTTAAATAAGTCCAGTCAACAAGCTTATGGAAGTGTAATACTGCCACAAATGTACATCTCAACTTCCTATTTATTTGCAACAGTTCGGTTAATTTGATGACATCTTTCGTCATAAATTAACATTAACTAGAAAATATCATTTGACTTAGCCTGAGTCAAAACCATGCACTCCGTTTTTATTTAATTTTCTCAAAGAAATACTTCAAGGGGTAACACTTTCTTTGTCTAAAATTTTAAGGATTTACCTCCTATCATGAAATTTAATGATCAACATACAATAAGCATGTGTTTGAAACCATGAACCGATCTAAGTTAGATTACTATTAGAAAGCTGGAAGCACCGGACAACCGTTTTATCTAAGTATGGAGGTACACAATCGTGCATATCTACGACCACGACTATCTCCACAACCCCCTATAAACAGATGAGTCTTATTTGATGTAGATGACAAAACTCGTTTTGTACATCTTGAACAATAAATACGTCCGAAATGGATTTATAAATCTTATTTTAGTATTGATCTGCCCAAAATCTTAGGCAAACCATACGGAGTAAAATGTGTATGCGTGTTGGCTCTTCACCTGTCGTAGAAATCTCACTGGTATAAGTGAGTTCATCTTCCGCCTGTCAAACCGTGATTACATTGTAGCAATAATTTGCTGTGTATTACCTCGGTTCCTTAGTTGTTTTTGACTGACTGACTGATAGATTCGAACATGATTGATCAAAGAGTTTAGATTGACAATAAACGACAGAAAATGGATGTAGCGATGTTACTTACTTACGCCTGTTACTCCCAATGGAGCATAGGCCGCAAACCAGCATTCTCCAACCCACTCTGTCCTGGGCCTTCTTTTCTAATTCCATTCAATTCATGTTTATTTTTCTCATGTCTATCTCCATTTCCTGGCGTAATGAGTTCTTTGGTCTTCCTCTTTTCCTTTGGCCTTGAGGATTCCATGTGAGGGCTTGCCTTGTGACGCAGTTGGATGCCTTCCTCAATGTGTGTTCTATCCACTTCCAGCGCTTCTTCCTCCGCTGAGATCTGGTTTCTTTTCACCCACAGTAGGTTGTTGGTAATAGTGTCCGGCCAACAGATCCGAAGTATTTTGCGTAGACAACTGTTAATAAACACCTGTATCTTCAGGATGATGGTATGTAGCGATGTTAGATTACTAATATTTTTGTACATATCAATTAGGTTTTTGTTAAACACTTGCAATATATCAATATCAATGTCACCACCCACAGAACAGGTACTATTGCTTATTATCTCAACTGTTTGACAAAAAAACACAAGAATTCCATGAAACAGAATGTAGTTTTATTGATAAAACGAATGGATCCAACTATTCTAAAACAAAGTGGGAAATATACATAGTAATCAAATAAATCATAAGAAATAAATCTCTTGAAGATATTAAATTGATTTAAATTGTATTTGCGGAAAGAGGAGGAAACTTGAGAAAACTATAAGTTTGATGTAAATGCGCGCTCATATATTACAAAGAAGACAGAACAATATAGGATAGAGGAAACATACAGTGGATAAGATTATGATTGATTCATATCGGCATTCGTAACGAAGGAATTGTTGTCTTCTACAGGTTTCGATGGAATAGTAATCACATTTCTCGAACGTATTGGTACACGATCAATGTGATTACGATTGAAATGAAATGCTGGAACTACCCACGTGCCACATACACATGGTTCGCCTAGATAAATCAATGAAAATAAAGTTTTGTTTTGAATATATATACATATATCATGAAAAACTTGGTATATTCGTTTAGTACACCTTTTAAACAATTTGGTTAAATCTTCTGTTGTAAAGGTATTATATGTGAAAAAGACAAGATATCAAATAGGTTTGAAAAGTGGAAAGTATGATACATTCATCCAGTTAATAAACAATGGGTTAAAGACTTAGGTAGACTTATTGATAAAAACAAATTATTTTCCCACACATAGGTGTACGAGTTTCTTGAAGGTTAGGGGTCCTATAAATTCAAGAGCTAGCCTCTGACATCTTGCGTAAAGAAATTATGCAGCTTGCTTCGAATTAATCTTTGTGAACAACAAATTCGAGAAAATCACGGAGGTTTCGGATATGGATTTGAGTGTTTTGATTAAGTATTCAACTTCTATGAAGTTGTAGAACAAAGGTCTAATTTCTGACATCTATCAATAGTGGCATTTCCTCACCTGAAGGCGGTATCTGATTCCATCGACTGATAAATTGTGTAGCAAGCTTTCCGACTAAAAGGTTGGCTAAAAAAGTACATAAATTTTGTGAAAGCTATTTAGCTGAACAAATCCAAATTCGTAAAATTATATGTTCTTCAAGACTACCAATTATATTCATATTTATGAAACTTCTGCAAAGATATTATATTAATAATAATACTTTATATCTCTAACTTATAAAAAACTATCCTAATTAACGAAAGATTTAATTAGCGACTTGCAATACGCAGACGATATCACTTTGATAGGAAAAGACCCAGACAAAATCAAGTCTTTTGATAGCCCATACAATGCAAGTTGGTTAGGATTAGTTCCTCTCCTGATAAATTCGAACTCCTGCTTAGAACTAATCTGAGTCAGAGCGTAGAATAACCGTGAGGGGTGAAGCAGTCGAGCGATGACTACTTTACTAATCTTGAAAGTCTAAGCAACCCTAACAGGTTAACATCTGATACAATCTGAGCACGAATTCAAAGTTCCCCGCAGTTTTTAACAACCTACGTCACATTTGACGTAAGCAGGATGATCGGATGGAAAATGAGGAGAGAGCATAGTGCAAAACAATCCTCTCTAGAATAATATATGGCTGCTAAGTATGGTTTATGGGAATAGAACAAATGAGTATACTACAGGCTTTTAACTATAAGTGTTTTCTAAGTATTACTTCCGTATCTCAGAAAAAACTGAGTGAACGATACTGGGGTCAAATTCACAGTACTGAACGAATGTAGCAAATCTTTTGCTGAGGCTATGGATGGAACATGTTACGTACACCAAATATTACCTAGTTCGTTAAAAGATGTTGGCTGACGTAGTGGAAGATTGGAAGTTATGGCAGCCAAACCAAGACGTAATATCAGTCCATGAAATCAATGATTGTTGGGGACCTATGTTAATAGATCCAGACACTACTTGATTAAGGTCCGCACAAATAATCTGATTAATGTTTGGAAACATTGGGTGACATGGCGTAGAACACGTAACAGTGGCCCAGTTGCATTTATTCATTATGTTGCTCCAAATCTTGAGTTAAGTATTACTTCCGACTTTCTACCTTTTGATAGCTTTTGTTTTTTAACTGTATTTACTATATTTAGCGTTCCGTCACAATCGATATCATCTTCTACCACCTGCTCATCATCTTGTTTATTTAGCCGCCATATCCTGATATGAAATGTGGCAACTTGTATAAATGCACACTTGTGACACGTCACACGTTGATAATGGTTATCTGACTGAAGCCATAATTCGATTACTTCCTAATACGAATTAGTGTACACACCCATTTGGACTGACTCAACTATTTGTGTGATCATACGCAACGTAGAACCTGGCATCGATTTAAGTTGTTACCAAGATAGAATTAGTGGTAGTAATAGTATCAGTGACATTAAAGATACACTAGACAAAGATAATACGATTTCAGAAGAATGAATTTAGAGGATAAAAGATACAAGGTAACTATGGAGCTCATGGTCTAAGGGAAGACAAAAAGAGAATGTATATGCGCCATTAAGACCGATTATGAGCCATGTCACTAAAACGTCTCAATCATTATTCACGATAATTCATTTTGTACTGGCTGTTTGAATCTTCCTATTGATGTTTAGGACTGCAATTAATTAGTTTCGTATTGGCATATGTGCGCCCTGTGTGGCTTAACTCGATACTGCCTTGAATCACAAGCATTATAAGCAGAGATGGATGGACGCTAGCAGTAGAATTCAGGACGTGCGTTTCGTCCTATTGGGAACTCGTCAACCGAATGTGCCTGCGTCCCACAGTTGACATTCACCCTGGAACTCGAACCCAGTACCACTCGCTTCAAATGCCATCGCGTTATCCACATAACTACTGAGTCCTGATAGCCACCTGCTTGTGCAATGGGGTGAAGTTTAAATTCATTTAGTACTGTTTGCTTGTATCTTCCCATTGTTGTTTAGGAACTTCAATTAATCAGTCTGTTGTTGGCATATGTGCATCCTGTGCGGACTGCCACGATATTGCCCTAAGTTACAAGCTTTATAAGCAGAGACGGATGGTGGTCAGCAGTGGAATCTAGCTGACGAGTCCCAAATAGGACAAAACGTACGTTCTGGATGCCACTGCTAGCCACCATTCATCTCTCCCTATCAGTCAAAATAACTGTGCAAACCCCACTCAGCCAGGTAGCTTGCACCTACCAGCATGACATCTGTATGATGATGATGTTTAAGGGGAAAGCATGGGTTTTACTCCTTCAGTAATGATGAATTTGGCTGTATAATACATTTTAATGATAAATAGCTTGAACATTGGCTTCAGAAATAGTGTAGCATTAGACTTTTCTGTGTTGATGGAATGATGAGATAGCTTATTTGAAGGACAAGAGAAAATTGGTTCAAATGATAACCGTCTTTTGCAAACAGTAATAAAATTTAAGTCACATTTTGACTTCATCAATTATTCTCCTATCGTGATGAAGCAACCGAGCTATACTGGCTGGAACAACCGTTCCTCAAGGTCCTACCATGTCAGACAGGTCGGTTGAAGAGCGGTAAGACTAAAAGCAACAAACCCAAGGTCCGAAGGCGAAGTCGTACTGCTGACTGTACAGAGGTGTGACAGCAGTAAGGTGTTTCCTTCAGACAACCAGCATGACAGCGATGCTGCCTTCCCACAAGGAGGGGTGGGGTTAGAAAAGGTCGACCCTAAAAATGCACACCTCACCTTACCTCACGGATTTCCGTCTCCGGCGGTAAGGCCCTTTGAAGAACGGAGCTAACACGCAAAAACCTCCCACGAAAAGGCCGTGCGCGACCGGCCTCAAGCAGTTGTCCCTTGGGCACTGCGGTCACGCTCTCAGGTCACTAAGACCACCTCTAATCCAATTTCCTTTTCAGGTACCTCCAGAACAACCCTTCCACGGTGTGGGCAACCGGGAAGTGATAACCGCCCTCATACTTCTAACAGCACTCAAGACCACTGTATTCATAATCAACCTCCTCTTCAATTCCTATTATTCCTCCTACATCGACTTTCAACTCTATATTTCCTCTCTCGGCTTCCACCTCAAGTGTCACCGTAGCCAACGATTCTAGTGCGCAAAACACTGTCCCAGGTCTACTGAAACCTCGCTCCAAACTACACATTGGAGCCTTCAACGTACGCACCCTATGTCAAATCGGTCAGCAGGCTTCCTTGGCTAAAACCCTAGAGTCTCTTTCCATTGATGTATGCTGTGTCTCCGAAACACGCATACAGGATTCCAGTGTGGTCATTCACTTGACCTCACCTCGGCAAACGGAGAGCCAACGAGATACACCCTTCGTGTGTCTGGTGACCCGATGGCAAGTTCTCGTGGACTGGCAGGTGTAGGCATAGCACTAAGCATGAGGGCCGAACAAGCACTGCTAGAGTGGATCCCCGTCAACAGTCGTCTATGTGCTGTTCGGCTGAACGGCTACGTAAGAACTCGGAAGGATAGGGACACACGTCGTTGCCTTTTTGTCGTTTCTGCCTACGCTCCCACTGACTGCAGCTCAGATGAAGTGAAAGATGAATTTTACAGAAAGCTGTCCGAACTTCTTCAGAAAGCTAAACGCTCAGACATAGTACTCGTAGCAGGTGATTTTAATGCTCAGATAGGCAGTTTAAACCAAACAGAAAGGCATTTAGGTGGATATTTTAGTATTCCGACACAGCGAACAGATAATGGTGATCGTCTGCTGCAGCTATGCTCAGACAATCGTTTATTTTTAGCAAACACAAATTTTAAGCATAAGGAGAGACATCGTCTAACATGGCGACCCCCTACACCAAACCAACGATGGACTCAAATAGACCATATTGCCATCAGTCATCGTTGGAGAGGGTCGGTAGAAGATTGTCGCTCATTCTGGAGTACCTGCTTGGACTCCGACCATGCCCTAATACGGGCACGCATCTGCTTGCGCCTCACTGGACGCAAAAAAGCCACATTAAAAAGACCCATTAGAACTGAGTTGAGTAACGAGAAAACCAAAAGTAGGTTCCAGGAACAACTGAGGTCACACTTAGGTAGTTGTGAAGACGAGGCTGACCCAGATGTTGCTTGGAAGGATACAAGCAGCTGTGGAAACAGCAGTGACATCTATTAGTGACTTAAACCACAGAGTTACAAGGAACCAGTGGATTTCTTCAAGGTCTGTCACACTGATGGATTCTCGCAAACTCGTCCCATCAGGTTCTGAACATGATGAAGAGCGTAAACAAATCAGATCTAGGTTAAGAAAAAGTCTAAGGAACGACCGTGAGCAGTGGTGGGTAACGAAAGCAAAAGAGATGGAAAAGGCGGCGACTATAGGGAACACAAGACAGCTTTACAGACTAATAAAAGAAACTGGAATTAATAAGTCAAGTGTAAGTGAGATTATTTCGGAAAAAGATGATACTCTCATCTGCTCCCAGTCCAGACGTTTAGAACGATGGGCGGAACATTTTAGAGAACAGTTCAGCTGGCCTTCAGCTACTCTACAACTACCCTCCATTCCCAGACAATGTGAATGGAACATTGAAGTAGGTCCCCCAACTCTTGCTGAAGTTGAAAAGGCTATAGTTAATCTGAAACGAGGAAGGGCAGCTGGTCCAGATGGATTGGCTCCAGAGGTCTTTAAGGATGGTGGTCCAATTTTAGCGATTAGGTTGACTAATATTTTAGCTAAGATCTGGGAATTAGACGTTATCCCATCTGACTGGTCGCAATCACTTATCGTCCCAATATATAAGAAAGGGTCAAAATCATCCTGTGACAACCACAGAGGGATTAGTTTAACAAACATAGTATCTAAAATACTGGCCTCGATAATTATCAAACGCCTAACTAAGACTCGTGAACTACAAACACGAGAGAACCAAGCTGGCTTTAGACCTGGTCGTGGCTGCATCGACCACATATTCACCATTCGTCAGGTTCTAGAACACAGGCATACCTATCGGCGTCCGACGATGGTGGTCTTTCTTGACTTAAAAGCAGCATTTGACTCTGTAGACCGCGAGACTCTGTGGCAGTGTCTGTCATTGAAAGGCGTACCTCAGAAGTACATAAACCTTGTGAAGGCTCTTTACTCGAACACTACTAGTCGAGTCAGGGCTTATGGCGAACTGTCATCTACTTTTGCAACCTCAAGTGGTGTCCGTCAAGGCTGCCCACTTTCTCCATTTTTGTTTAACTTCATCATAGACCTATTGATGGAAATAACACTCTCGTCGACTGAATTCTCGGGTATTGATCTCCTTCCAGGAGGTCCACTTATCGACTTAGAATATGCAGATGACATAGTCCTGTTTGGTGAAGACGCTGACAAAATGCAGAGTCTTCTGGTAGCACTAAGCAACAATGCCAGAATGTTTGGGATGCGCTTCTCTCCCTCTAAATGCAAGTTGTTGCTTCAGGACTGGTCTGCGTCAACACCTGAACTAAGGATAGGGAGTGAAGTAGTCGAACGCGTTGACAACTTCACTTATCTTGGAAGTCTGATCAGCCCTAATGGGTTGGTGTCTGACGAAATCTCAGCACGGATTCGTAAAGCTCGTTTGGCTTTTGCCAACTTACGTCACCTTTGGCGGAGGCGAGATATCCGTCTATCAATAAAAGGACGAGTATACTGCGCGGCAGTCCGTTCTGTTTTAATTTACGGCAGCGAAACATGGCCTTAAGAGTAGAAGACACCCGTAAGCTACTAGTATTTGACCACAGATGCCTTAGAAATATTGCTGGCATCTGCTGGGATCACCGGGTAAGTAATAGTGAGGTTAGACGCAGGGTATTAGGGAATGATGGTAAATCAGTTGATGAGGTTATGAATCTTCATCGACTGAGATGGTTGGGCCACGTATTACGTATGCCTGAACACCGATTACCACGACGTGCAATGCTAACCGGTGTAGGGGATGGTTGGAAGAAAGTTAGGGGCGGCCAAACCAAAACGTGGCATCAGTGCCTGAAGTCACTAACTTCTAGTCTGAGCCATGTTGGTAGATGCAGACTACTTGGTTGGGGTCCGCGTGACTTTCGTAACCAATGGTTGGAGACTCTTGGTGACATGGCTCAGAATCGATCACAATGGCGTCGGTGTATACACTCTCTGTCTTCTCTTAAACTAAGAGATTAAGATCACTTCACATCTTTCTTTCTACGAACTAATTCTTTCTTCCTATACTATATCCTTATTGCAATCTTTCTCCTATATATTACCACCTTTGACCTAACCACTCCTATGAATCCGGTGTTCATCTTGCTGTGCTAATGAGGTATGGCAACCTGGGCCGATGCATACATGTGCCTGGTCCTACGTTGTAGCTGACTGACTGACTGATTCTCCTATAACCCTGACTCTTTACAAACGTGTATGTATATCACTTAATCTATTATTCATCAAATGTCTTTAGTTTATGTTTCTCTGATCACAAATATTTATTTTTATTTGAACACATAAATATTGGTATAAAGGGGAAACAAATACATATCCACCACACAATAACAATGAAGTTGTGAAGAGATAGAGAATGTAAAGTGCATATAGGAAAGAGGAGAACAACAAAGACCAGGAATCAGTATATGGGAGTAAAATAATAATAACGGGAGAAACAGTTCAATTAGGAAAAGTACAGCCAGAGAGAATTCTTCCAGCTAAAGAAGTTACGTTCATTTTTTAAGAAAAGCAAAATGAAGTTACAGTATGATTGATACTGGCTCCTATTCTGAGTTATGTCTGATAACGTCTCTAGCCACTCTGTTGCAATAAATCTGAGACCCCAACCAGGGAGTTGTGAAGGACCAACAGAAGCCAGTCCTGTATAGCTTTCTTTCACACCACGACATCATTTCATACACTAAACAACTCTGCTTTTTCTAACCAGTCCCAGCACCGGCAAATAATGCATCACGTGGAATCCTGTGGGACGACATTTGTAGAACATCTCCGAACCACCGAAATCGGTGTTTCAAGAAAGTGACACTAATTGAATTGTCGTCGCTGTGCACGAACACACGATGCCTAACTTCTGCATTAATAATATGGTGTTGTCATTGGATGTCAACAATCCTTCGGCGACAACAATGACCATACACACAAAGGTCAGGTTTCACAAGCACAGAGCAAGACTGTTCTCACCGAAGCGTTGTCCATCCGACCATTTACAGCCAAACCAACATCATGAAAATGCCAAAGATGGCCCAGATTGGCATAAGCCGCTCTGGCTCTCACTATACGTGAATTGGTCTCATCACTCACACCACCACTCATTTATTTTATTTATTTATTTATTTTAACACATAGATATTGGTACAAGGAGGCACCAAATACATATGCGTCACACAAATCTCATTTGATATGTGTGAGGGCTGTGATACTGCCCGAGTGACCAAACCGAAGCAGGTGGATTTCTTATGGGGCCACACCCGGAGCCTTCGACCTGAAAGTCTGATCCACAAGGCAGTGGAGCACCGTAAGGAGAAGCAGTCCCATGGTAGCCGGTGACGAACAGTTGGTTCATACGCCATTTGTTCCTTCAGGATACTAGGGCCCATGTGCACCATTGGTTTGGAATCAGGGTTTTCCAACTCCCCTAAGTGGACTCTCTATGTCCACCAACCCGGTTAAAGCGCCGGACATTCGCTTTTCGTCCTCTTAATTTCGTGAACAACACCCCGCCACGAGAAGGCAATGAGTAGGACTTCCCTGGCAGAGGTTATATACGCGTGGCCATGTGAGAGCATTTCGAGAGGGAGAACGGACTCTCCCCACTCTCGGCCGTACCAGGGCATCTGGGGGCCACCACTAGCAGCTGTGCAGCTACCCAGATACACCAACTTTACCATTACTTCTATCTGCTCACTACCCAGGGTGAGAAAAGGATTAGTGTCCTGTCAGTCTTGTAAAAGTACATTGCACTTTGAAGGTGCAAAGCACATACCAGATCTACGGGCACTTATTCCCAACTGAGTAAATGCGGATTGCATGGCTTGGGTATCATTGAGCAGTAAAACAATATCATCCGCATACTCAAGGTCGAGAAGTCTTTCTCCAGGTAAGAGATCGACACCACCATTACCTACAGCCATCACAAATGTTTCCATAAACCAGGACATTACACCAACTTATGGGGTTACTCACTGCTGTTTCGAGATACGCATGAAAGTGTAAACTTCCTGAGGTGAGAGCTTTGAATAACCGAAATTAAATGGTCCAGAACTCAGTATCCAGAGCAAACCATCTACGATTTTTTTTTAAATGTTGAACGCTTTATGCGTTTTTTTTCGCTTTAGCTTTACGGATGTTTTTAATCTATTTGAATTTCTTTCATACTGTTAAACAAATAAAGTTCCTCCGACCGATCCACTTTTGTGCAATATTTGTTCTCACAAAGGTAATGCCATCAGACATTAGTAATTAAGGCCGTTCGTATTGATGGTAAATAACTTTCTGGTTTTACTATCTTCAGCTATTTTTTAACATACCACTACATCGGTAAATACTGAAAATCAGAATGACAAACAAATTCCCAGACACTTCAGCTTGCACAAGCTAATCACATCACTCACATATTTATTTATTTAAACACATAAACATTGGTGCAAGGAGGCACCAAATAGATATGCGCCACAATAATCGCCCACCATACAACTAACATGTTTTTCCCACCAGTACTCTGTGCTTAGCCACAATCGCTTTCAGTAAACACTTACCTCAAGTGTGTGAAAAACAAACATTAAATTAATTTAATAGTTTTCCCAATTAAATTAATAAATTTTATTAGTAAAAACAAGCTTACCACACCAATTGAAAGAGCCAACTTTAGCGTTGCATCCAGGACAATAAAGCTAAAATGTGATAAAGAAATGTACAAAAGCACATAAATTCGGCTTCTTGTCAGTATTTGTATGAATAGTGTTTATGACACTATTCAGCTGCCAGAATCGAGGAAAATGGTGAGATTTGAACAAGGGAAATGCAGCTCTATTAGAATGCATGGAGCCCCTATTATAGGTTACACATTATCCCGACTAAATTTATTATAAGAACTAACAAAGCTAAAGGCGAAATGAGTTGAAGAACTAATACTATTGGATAGTGCCTAACACTGAGAATTAGCTAGATTCACTGAGTACGTGCCTATATTTCAATTAAAAAAGTAATAACATACGAAAGTCTGGTAAAATATAATACCAAAAAATGCACACACCACTGAACTAGGAATTCTATTTAATGGATCAAACAACACAATTCAGCAACCAGTCAGCAGTGGTCTTGAGTGCTGTTAAAGGTATGAGGGCGGTTATCAACTCCCGGTTGCCCACACCGCGTAAGGGTCCTTCCGGAGGTACCTGCAAAGGGAATTGGATTAGAGGACGTCTTAGTGACCTGAGAACATGACCGCAGTGCCCAAGAGACTGCTTGGGGCCGGTCATACACGACATTTTGTAAGTAATTTTCGTGTTAGCTCCGTACTTTTTGAAACCTTACCGCCGTAGACGAACATCCGTGAGATAAGGTGAGGTGTGCATTTATAGAGTAGACCATTTCTAACTCTACCCCTTCTTGTGGGAAGGCAGCATCGTTGTTATGCTGGTTGTCTGAAGGAAACACCTTGCTGCCGTCACATCTCTGTACAATCAGCAGTAATACTTAACCCTCAGACCTTGGGTTTGCTGTTTTTAGTCTTACTGCTCTTTAACCGACCAGTCTGGCATGGTAGGACCTTGAGGAACGATTGTCCCAGCAAGTATAGTTCAATTGGTTCATCACGATAGGCAAGCCCGACTACCACGTCAAGGCAGCAACAATGGTCGGGCAGAAGCTTAGACTGAGACTATGGTCTAATTCGAGCACGTATCTGTCTGTCTTACTGAATGCAGAAAATTCACTGCAAAAAATCCCTTACAGTCTGACTCAATCATAAAAAAGTGAAGAATACATTTCAGGAACGACTAGAGGAGCTAGTCAACCGTGAAAATTATATTCAACCCGATGTAACTTGGCATGACATCCAAAAAGCTATGGAAACAGCAGTGATATCTATTAGTTACTGAAACCAAAGGTTAGGAAAAATCAATGGGTTTCAGCAGCATCTACGGAACTGATAAATACTTGTAAACTCATCCCGTCTGGCTCCAAACACAATGAGGAATGGAGGCAGCTTAAACGTTGCTTGACAAAAAGCCTCAATGATCGTGAGCAGTGGTTAGTTGTGAAAACAGAAGAGATGGGAAAGGCAGCTGCGATAAGTAACAGTAATCAACTGCTCAGAATTATCAAGGAAACGGGTAATAAAAATACAGCCGTTAGTGAAACTATCTCAGTAAAAGACGGAACTAATATTCACTGTCAATCCTGGAGATCGAACTGATAGACAGAACACTTTAGGGAACAGTTCAACTGGCCTCCAACCACACTTTACTTACTTACTATCCCAAAGCGAGCTGAATAGCAAATAGACGTATGTCCTACAACTCTTGGTGAGGTTGATAAGGCTATAGGCAATCTAAAGCGAAAGAGAGCAGCAGGGCCTGATGGACTAACCCCTTAGATTTTTAAGGACGATGGCCCAGTTCTAGCAGTTAGATTAACTGAGATCTTAGCTAAAATCTGGAAATCGCACGTAATTCAACGCAATCGGTTTCGGTCGCTGTTCGTTATTCTATAAGAAAGCACAAAAGTCATCTTATGGCAATCACAGAGTAAACAGTTTAGATAATTCAGTGTCGAAAATATTAGTTTCTATAGTACTTCCACATCTAACTAGAACTCTTGAAAAGCGAACCCGAGTAAACCAGGCTGGTTTAACTGTCATAGATATGCCTTTAGAAATAATATTATCATCGTTCGACTATTCAGGGGTTGATCTACCATAAGATTCCCTTACTCACTTGGAATGTCCACAAGATATAGTTGTGTTTGGTGAAGATGCTAGAAAAACTCAGTCTTCCGACCATCTTAAAACACAATGCAAGCATGTTTGAGATGCAGTCCTCTCCTGCCAAGTGCAAAATGTTGCTTCGCGATCGGCTTGCGTCATCACCCGGATTAATCACAATGAGTGGGGCAGCTAAACGCATCGTTCACTCCACTTATCTTGGGCGTCTCATCAATCATGATGATCTGATGACTGACGAAATCTTCACATACACTGACAGTCCGACTGGCTTTTACCAACATGCATCACTTGTGGTGCAGATGACATCCTTTTGCCAAACAAAGGACGGGTTTTCTGAGCAGCAGTTCAATCCGTTCGACTTCATGAGTGTGAAACATGACCATTAGTAATAGAGGATATTCGTAGGTTACTAGTATTCCATCATAGATGTCTTCGAAGCATTGTTCATGTGTGTTGAGATCACAGACTCAGTAATGCATGGATTAGGAATAGGCTGCCATCAGGTAGTGAATCTGTATCAACTGAGGTGGTTGGGACATTCGTTACGTAACCTTAACTACGGCCTACCTCAACGAGCGATGTTGTTTGGTGTAGAAACAGGCTGGAACAAAGCTAAGAGCGCCCAAACCCAAACACAACGTCAGTCCATGATGTCACTAACAGTCAGTCAGTTACAACATAGGACCAGGCACATATATGCACCGGTCGAAGTTGTCATACCACAGTAGCACAACAACATGAACACCGGATTCATAGAATCAGTTAACTCAATGGTGTAATATATAAAAGATCTTATGTAAGGATATAGTACAGAAGAAAAGAATTGGTTCGTAGAAAGAAAGATATAAAACGATTTTAATCTCATAGTTGGAGGGATGATAGAGGGTGTATACACCTACGCCATTGTGACCGATTTTGAGCCATGTCACCCAGAGTCTCCAACCATTGGTTACGATAGTCACGCGGACCTCAACCAAGTAGTCTGCATCTACCAACATGGCTAAGACTAGAAATTAGTGACTTCATGCACTGATGTCACGTTTTGGTTGAAGTCACTAACAATTGGACTGAGCCATGTTAATAGGTAGAGACTACCTGGATGGTGTCCGCGTGATCACTGCAACCAATCGTTAGAGACTTTGAATAATATGGCTCAAAATCATTCGCCATAGCTCAGGTGCATCCATTCTTTGTATTCTCCTAAATCCTGAGATTATGAACTCTTCACAACTGCTTTTGCTTTTATTTCACCAATTTATATTTTCTTTCCGAGTCGTGTCTTCGATGTCTAATATTTCTTGTTGCCGCTGATACTGTTACTACCTCTACTATTCTGGGATAAAACATGACAATATAATCCATCTGTGCTAATAGGGTATAGCAACTTGAATCGATGTACATAAGTACCAGGTTCTATGCTTTAACTGGTTGCCTAATACTACAAGGACAATGTACCATGGCCGAAATATCTGTTAAAGATGGTTCAAAGTATAAATACTCTGGAGGAATAGCAAACAAACTAATGTTAAAACTAGTGGTTTACAAAACTCCATATTCTTCAACAGCGAAATAACAGGATTGCATACCTTTCCTTGAACATCACTAGTACTGTGCAATGTCCATTCCAATGGGTCACAGAACAATTCATTTTTATCACATTGTAAAGGAGAGTTATTTAATGAAACACCTTTGATTAAGACACTAGATACGTTATCAGTGTTCTTGGATTTTGTAGAATTTATAAGAGGATTAGGTGTTGTCTCCGGTTTTTGATGAATGCGTAACTGATTTGAATTGAATAACACTTGTCTACAAGGATAAATTCATATTTTGAAAAAAATCGTATTTATTTTTCTAAAGGACAGAAACCTGCATTTTTTACATCTAAAACTTGAAGGTGTGTTGTGCAACTGACAGACTGTTTGACTTTCTAAAAGATCACCATTATAATCTATTAAAAAGAGGGATTAGAAATAGCACTTATAAACAGCAAACCCGTAAAAACTGAGAAGGTTCTTTTCGTCATATATTGTTGAAATAATGGAGAATCACGGTTGACCGTCCACTTCATAGTATGAAACAACTTTAACTGATTAATAAATCCATTATTGGGACTAAATATTAATAGAAATCAACCATAAAACATTCAATCAGTAAAACCGTAATTACAAAATACTCCGTTTCCTTGAAACAATATTATAAGCCTCTTCATAGGATAAATGATTTCGACGCATAAGGTAGGCGACTACAACACTGGCGCTGCGAGATACACCCATAGCACTATACTCCGTTCACCCGTTTTTAATTTAAAAAAACTAGACCACTATGTATTTACTCCGCTTACCAGTGAACCAAAATATTTGAGTTATTTTTTATACTTTCATCAATAAAACTTAAAGCATCTTCAAGAATTTCCAGCAAATCCTGGGATGGCTCGTCACGCAGATATAAGAACTTCATGTTAAATCCTTTGAATACATTGCAGTCTAATGGCAGGATATCTAGTGTTAAAATTGACATTATTCCATTTCTTTTTAAGACTGAAATATTTTCTGCAAATGGCATAGGTCCAAGCCATAGACCTGGGATAATCTCATCCATATTTATTATCAATCACTAAAAAAAGACCACAACGAGTACAAAAGATGGTTTAAAATTCAACGGAATCTAGGAAATTCAGAAATCATTTATTATGCATACATTAGAGCGAAAAAAATCTGACGCTGTGTAGTCAGATTGATTACTAACACTAATCATATCATAAATCGATTTGAATTATTATTCTGGTTATGATTATGGTCTGAATGATGCACTACTACACTTAGGTTTAAATTTAAGCAAATTATAGCTCTTACAAGTCATTCAAAAGCTAGTTATTATAATTTCGAAGCCTCGGTGTACCTGAAGTAGAAGACATTATTTTAAACAAATAACTCCCGAAAATTATTCACTTTTGGTGGAGGCATGTTAAGGACTCAGGAGCATTTGTACAAGAGGTACGGACTCATTTCCGGCAGTTATACAATCAAGTAACAACCATTTATACCCTAAACAGCCCCCAAAAAGAAGCACAGTCATCCCTGGACAGGCCGGGATATTCGACGTTTACTAAGACAAAAGAAGAAATGTTGGAACATCACCATCAGCCTTGGCACAGCAAGTACAGTGGAATGCTACAAGTCGGTACGAAATACATGTATAATTACAACCCGTGAAGCTCATACATAAAACAGAACCAAGACGACTTCCATCAAAATACAGACCTGTCAGCCTCACCAGTGTCATGATTAAAATATTGGGAAGAATAGTCAACAAGGCCATAATGATAATCTTGGAAACCAACAACTTGTTAAACAGTGAGCAACATGATTTCAGAAAAGTTTTATCTTGCACAACAAACCTCAAAGCAAGGGAGCAATGGATAGAGGCTCTAGACAATAGAAAATCAGTGTGAGTAGTCTACATAGACTTCAGTAGAGCGTTTGATAAGATGCCACCAAAGAGACAGTTCTTGAAGCCGAAATATCTAGGCAGTGTCGGACCTCTCCTGAAATGGCTTATGGATTTCTTGGTAGGTCGTAGACAGTAAGAATAAATTTCAAGTGTTCCATCGGAAACCAGTACTTAGTTGAGTACCGCAAGGCTGTCCTATGTCCTTTAATTTTTATACGGTATGTAAATGAACTGCTAAATATAGTTGGGTCCCCAATGCCGCTATACGCCGACTCATAAATCTGGCGGGAAATAACAAGAAACGCAGATTCATGCGCACTTCAGGCAGGCTTAGATATTCTGATTAGGTGGTTTAAAAATGGATGGTGTGGCCGAGTGTGTCTACATGTACTTTCGGGATACAAAGGTAAATAGGTACATCATAGAAGTGCCTATACCCGTGGTCCGGTCTAACAAGGATCTTGTGGTGACAGTGAGTTATGAACTTAAGACCACGGCCCACTGATGCGATATTAAAGCTAAAAAGGTTAGAACCTTCGGGACTTTAAGACGGACATTCACCAAGTTAGATACTATTATGTTCACTACAGTATAAAAACCCTTAATTAGAACTAAGCTTCAAAACTGCATTGGGGCCGCAAACCCGTTTAAAAGGTGAATCGAATATTCCGGAAACCGTACAGAGGGCAGCTACTCGTGCAATTCCAGGGTTTACCATACAAAGAGAGGCTTGAAAAGCTGGGTCTATTTACTCTGTCCTATTGAAGATTAAGAGGTGATCTGATCTTAACGTATAGAATATCAAAAAATGATTTTGGACCTAATATATACTCTCTTCTTCTTCCCACTAGATTGGGACATCTTAGAGGGTATCGTAGGCGAGTAGAAAAGCCAAGAACGAACAAAATACCCGTGGCACACACGTTTTCACACAGCCATCAATTTTCGGAACCTGTTACCCGAAGCAGCAGTGTCCGCACCTTCAATTGACTCTTTCAAGAGAAGACTAGACACTCACAGAAACATACTAGAAAAGGAAAAACCATAGGCCGTATGCCTTCTGTCCTAACTACACAAATCTAAATCTGAAGAACGGAAACCTACTTTGAGTTTATTAGATCTAGATTTTCGGACTATCGTGCTATGGCATTAAAGATTATTAGTACTGAAGGGAGCACAAAACCAAGATATATTAACACTAAAATCGTTATTAAACATACGGAATGCCCATATCAAGTCACCACGTTTGAAGCGACCGTCGTGAAGGAGTTCGGAAAGATCCTTCACTAACCTTGTTTTCAAACGCTGAACAAGATCAAGCGAATCGGTATCCTTAATAAGAAATGAACCAGCTGCTTGGGTACAGTACCCAAAGTGTGATCTTACACAGGTGGTATATAAAATCCGAAACATCTCGCCAGAGCACTTGAATGCTCGGGCGAAGTAACCCCAACGCTCGGAAACCTTTATCAGATACTGCGTTGCAATGCGTAGTTGTTCCAAATTCACGACTTGCTAGTACTCCTAAGTCTTTGTGTTCCCGCACGCACGGAAGAGATGTCCCGTCGATAGTTTACTGGTATCTCTTACCATGTCCGATGTGCGTTGACACACTTCCTGAAATTAATTTCCAAGCCTCAGCTGTGGGACCACCTAACTAATTCGTCTAGGTCAGCGTGGAGATAGAAATGGTTAGCCTCACTTCCCATTGTTCTCCATATCTTCACGTCATCTGTAAACAATAACGTCGCAGTGATTCAGTGACGTAAGAAGGAAAAGTAGGGGAGCTAAAATTGTGTCTTGGAGTACACCACTTTTAACCGGCTTCAGTTCACATAGTGTCCCATTTACATTCACTCTCCGTCTTCGGCCGCATAAGGAGCACCCGTTATTCCGAAGCTCATGAACCTCTGGATCTTGCGAGAGCCAGAGGTTCAGTCTTCAGTAATAAAGATAGTAGGTTGGACCTGTGTTAATCCTGACAGACTGCCTTTCAGTGAATGTCCAGCTTCTCCTTGAAAGTATTCACTGATGAGGCTGATACCACTTGTTCGGGTAAGGCGTTCCAATGACTGACTACTCGATGAGAAAAATGGGACCCCATTTAAGTTTATTAGATCTTGGTTTATGAACCTTCTTGCTATGACCTCGGAGATTATTAGTGCTGGAGGGAGCAAAAAGATAAGACATATTAACACCCAAATCATAATTAAAGATACGAAATGCCAGTATAAGGTCACCTCGTGTCCCACGATACGACAAGGGGAAAAGATTTAGGCGTTTTAAGCGCTCATCGTAAGGGAGACTAGAAAGACCCTTCACTAATTTCGTTCCCACACGCTGGACACGCTCAAGGGAGTTAGTATCCTTTACTAGACACGGGCTAGCTGCTTGGATACAGTACTCTAAATGTGGTCTAACATATATGGGGTATAAAATTCGAAACGTTTCCTCGTCAAAAGATGTGAACCCGAAATTTACCCCAAACTGTTAGATTGAGATGCACTGATTAAGCAGGCAACGCGCAGCTAACTTTAATTTGGACCACGTTGCGTTGTCATAAAAATTACACTGTATCTTCGTGTAAATATACCCACATATACAGCAGCTGCAGGACGAAGGCCAGGCAAGGTCAAGTGTTAGAGATTCAATTTCACTTTCAGCTTTGGCTTAAGGTTGGGTGATCGGAGTTAGTCTTATCAGTGAAGGCCCTTCAATTGATTCAACTTCCTTTTTGATCTGTCAACTGCCGACATCGAGTACGATAGTCGTATGCTGGAAGGACTATCCCGCTCTACTCGTCTCGGTTTCACACACATCCTGATTCTAGGGGACTTCAATCTCCCTAAAGTCAACTTTGCGGAACACACGTACACTGGAGGCGACAACTCAATTGAAGCTCGGTTCTACAACCTCATCTATGACTTGGGATTATACGAAAATGTGAGGTCGGCAACGCGTTGGAGAAACAGTCAGACACCATCGCGCTTAGACTGTGTATTCACAAATGAAGAATTCCTAGTTGATAATTTCTCAGTCCTGACTCCCCTGAGAAAAGGCGATCATGCCATCATAGCCTTCAGCTTTGTCAACAAAACGAAGCTAAGATATCCCACCAATAACTTGCGTTGGAATTTTAAACGGTTGAATGTGCCAGCTCTACATGACTATCTACAACAGGTGGTTTGGGATGTTCACCTCCAGCTCTATGTGGATGGTCACTGGGACTCCTTACTGCACAAGCTCTTACGTACTACAAACCATTCAGTTCCTCAAACGGTTCCCAAAAGCTGCAAGGCACCTACAATAATCAAGAACCGTACCCTTCACCTGCTAAGCCGTAAAAGGCACTGTCGGGCAGGATACAAACGAACTGACAACAACGGAGCGTACAGGCAATATAAACATATAAGGAACATATTCACGAAGGCTATAAGAGAAGATAGGCTTCAGTACTAGACAAAGCTTATGGACAAATTTGCCTCTAATCCCAAAAGCTTATTCCGTTATGCAGCCTCACTTCGTTAAGCCAAAACTGGAGTTTCCCAACTGCTAAGTCTTAACGGCCCGACCAATAACGATGGCGACGCCGCTAACCTTCTGGTTGAACATTACTTCCAGACATTTCAACCCACCGACATTAACTTTACTGATGACAGTTTCATTTGCAATTCCACAGGGCTCTCCGAAGTGAACCTAAGCGCTGACTTGTTGCTCCAGAAACTGCAGCACTTAAGATTAAACGCTTCTCCTGGCCCGGACATGGTCCATTCTGCCACACTGAGGGAAGCAGCCTCAATCCTGGCAACGCTGCTTAGCGAGATATTCTCACATTCGCTAAGTCGAGGCAACCTACCGGAAAATTGGAGGCTGGTTCACATCACACCAATTTTCAAAGGAGGTCGATGCAGCAAACCTTCAAGTTGCCGACCGGTGGCTCTTCTCTCCATAACTTCAAAATCGTGGAGTCCCTGATATGTGATAATATAAACGACTATTTACTGTCCTTACATTTCTTCTCACCCCAACAGCATGGTTTCAGGAGGGGTTACTGTTGTATTACCAACCTGCTGACTGCGGTGGACAGACGGACAAGCATCCTTGATCACAAGGGGAAGGTTGATATCATCTACCTAGATTTCTCAAAAGCTTTTGATAAGGTTAACCGTACATGTCTTATCAATAAGCTCAAACGATTGGGTATCAGCACACCTCTAATTGATTGGCTAATTTCATATCTGAAAAATCGACATTTTAAGGTCAGGGTTAATTTCACTTTATCTCAGGCTATGGAATGTCCTAGTGGGGCCCCCCAGGGCTCAGTACTAGGATCTCTTCTCTTCTTGACTTATATAAATGATCATGCTCAACAGGTAACGTCAGAATTGTTACTCTTTGCCGATGATGTTAAACATTGGAGAGAGATACGATGCCATGACAAAATACAGGCGCTTCACGAGGATCTGACTCGACTTCAAATTTCGGTAGATGATAACGGATTTACCATTAACACTTCAAAGTGTAAAGTAGTCCATCTGCGACATGTCGCAGACTGCAGTTACAACTTAGGCAACTCCTTTCTAGAAGTATCCCAAGTTGAAAAAAGATTTGTGAGTGCTGGTACCCTACGATTTGAAGTCTTATGCTGTGACAAAAATGCCTTCCGAGCAAACCTTGCACTGGTAACATTGAAGTGCATTTTTGGCCAGTTTGACGGAAGAACTTTCCACATAATCTTCAACAGTTTCATTCGCCCCCATTTAGAGTACGGAAACATAGTATTTCCCCCTCACTCCAAAAGGATAAGGACACTGGAACGTATCCAACGGCGAGCCACGAAATCAGTTCGAAGACTCAGATTTAAACTTTACGAAGAGCGCCTCCATTCACTTAACCTTTACCCTTTAGAGTATAGACGTCTTAGAGGTGACCTTCTGATGGCTTACAGTATCTTTAATAATTCTTCGAATCTCCTCAAACACGTACTTAGGCTTAGTTCCAACACTAACCTAAGAGGTAACACCCAAAACCTGGAGACACACATAGCAGAACGGACTGTAGACACAACTCCTACTCCTTAAGAGTTGTCAAATGCTTGAATTCGCTGCTGACTGAACTGGTCCAAGCGACTTCTCAGGAGTCCTTTAAGAGGCAACTTGATCTATTCTTAATGACTGAGGATAGTATCATACTATGATTCACCGATTTCTTTTTCCTCTTTCATTGTTAACATATCTAGGTTCCTGCCTGGAGGTTTTGGTGATCCTCTGCTACTAGACACGGAAGCCTGTTAAGCTAAAGCTTCTTCTATTCCGTCCACAACATTTGAACCATTTGGACTCTTCATCAAGTCATCAACGAATGGAATTCGTTAATTCGAAACGTGTTTGAAGCTTAATTTGTTCAAATGGTTCAAATGTTGTGGACGGAATAGAAGAAGCTTTAGCTTAACAGGCTTCCGTGTCCAGTAGCAGAGGATCACCAAAACCTCCATGCAGGAACCTAGGTATGTTAACAATAAAATAGGAAAGAGAAACAGGTAAATCAAAGCAAGATACAATCCTTAGTCCTTAATAATAGATCAAGTTGCCTCTTAAAGGACTCCTGAGAAGTCGCTTGGACCAGTTCAGTCAGCAGCGAATTCAAGCATTTGACAACTCTTAAGGAGTAGGAGTTGTGTCTACAGTCCGTTCTGCTATGTGTGTCTCCAGGTTTTGGGTGTTACCTCTTAGGTTAGTGTTGGAACTAAGCCTAAGTACGTGTTTGAGGAGATTCGAAGAATTATTAAAGATACTGTAAGCCATCAGAAGGTCACCCCTAAGGCATCTATACTCTGATGAGTAAAGTTTCAGTAGTTGAAGGTGTTCTTCATAAGGCTTGAATTTGAGTCCCCGAACTGGTTGCGTGGTACTTTCGTGGCCCTTAATCTGACTCATTTATCATTATCGACTTGAACATTTCTCCAATCCTCGTATATAATCATCAACTCAAATGGAGTTAGCGAATAACGGAATCAAATAAGTCTCCTATTATGGAGAGAAAAGTCAAAATTCTATTGATTTACTAATTATGAGTTTTATTCAACATTACTTCGATTCCGATTCAATGCAATGAGCATTCAGTGTAGTATTTGTTTTCTTTTCCCGTGTGATATTTTATTCCGTATAATATACGATATTCTAGTATTTAATTGACATCAACTATGCTCTATATGTGATTTGTTATAAACAGCATTTTATGTATATGATTTCATCCTAATTATTAGTCAAAGTGTGTGTACAATCAATATATACTTACCTGCTTACGCCTGTTACTTCTCGTGAAGGAGCATAGGCCACCCACAAACACTCTCCTTACAACCCTGTTCTAGGCAATTCTTTCCAGCTCCTTGCAGTTGTTATTCATCCTTTTCATATCTGCTTCTATTTCCCGACGTAATGTGTTCTTTGGCCTTCCTCTTTTTCACTTCTCTTTAGGATTCCAAGTTAGGGCTTGCCTCGTGATGTAGTTTGATGATTTGCGTAATGTGAGTCCTATCCATTTCCATCGTCTTTTCCTAATTTCTTCTTCAGCTGGAAGTTGGTTTGTTCTCTCGCACAAAAGGCTGTTGCTGATGGTATCCGGCCAATGGATGTTGAGTATCTTGCGTAGACACTCATTTGTAAATACTTGTACCTTCTTGATGGTGGTTGTTGTAGTTCTCCAAGTTTCAGCTCCATACAGTAGAACTGCCTTGACACTTGTACTAAAGATTGTGACTTTGATATTGGTTGAAAGTTGTTTTGAGTTCCATATGTTCTTCAATTGTGAAAATGCGGCCCTTGCTTTGCCGATCCTTGCCTTTACGTCTGTATCTGAAACTCCTTGTTCATCGATTATGCTTGCCAGGTATGTGAAGGATTCTACATCTTCCGGAGTCTCGCCATCAAGAGTGATTGGAGTACTGTTCTCTGTGTTGTATTTGAGGACCTTGGTTTTCCACTTGTGTATATTGAAGCCTGCTGATGCAGAGACTGCTGCTACACTGGCTGTCTTCATCTGCATTTGTTCATGTGTATGCGATAGGAGGGCTAGGTCATCTGCGAAGTCCAAATCGTCTAATTGATTTTGAGCTGTCCATTGTATTCCGTATCTTTCCTCAGATGTCGAGGTCTTCATAATCCAGTCGACCATTAGAAGAAAAAGGAAGGGGGAGAGTTGACAGCTATGTCTGACTCCGGTCCTTACTTGGAATGCATCTGTCAGCTGTCCTCCATACACTACTTTGCACTGTAGTCCGTCGTATGAGTTCCGGATAATATTGACAATCTTCTCAGGAACTCCATAGTGACGAAGAAGTTTCCATAATGTCCTCCTATCTACACTGTCAAATGCCTTTTCATAATCAATGAAGTTGATGTATAGTGACGAGTTCCACTCAACTGATTGTTCAACGATGATCCGTAGTGTTGCAATTTGGTCTGTGCACGACCGATCCTTACGGAATCCAGCTTGTTGATCTCGAAGTTGGGCGTCTACTGCGTCTTTCATCCGGTTCAGCAACACTCTGTTAGAGACTTTTCCTGGTACTGACAACAGCGTGATGCCTCTGTAGTTTCCACATTTGCTCAGATCTCCTTTCTTTGGAGTCTTGATGAGTTGACCTTCTTTCCAGTCCATCGGAACTTGTTCCTCCTCCCAAATCATTTTGAATAGAAGGTGAAGCATGTTCTTAGCCACTTTTATGTTTGACTTCAGTGCTTCAGCTGGCAT